TTCTAAGATAGAAAGGATTGTGACAGGGAAAAAGAAACCATTTAAATGACATTTAACAAATACTCTGCATTTTACTATACATCCTGGGAAAATTATACCATCTGCCATCAACTTGCTAGCTCAAAGAGGAAGAGTGAAGTCTTTGCAAGATTAAATGGAAAGATGCAAATCTCAGCTGAATTCAACTGAAAACCTGGTACACAAAACTCAATCTTTACTTCAGGCAGAAAACATCCAGGTAATTGAAATATATACAATTTAAAAAGTATTAAGTATTCGTGTTCCACTTTTTGTACAGCCTTATAGAAGAGGAAACCAAGGACTTCAATTTGTTACTAGAATATTATGACAAGATCTGAATGAGAAAGTCACAAGAGGCTGTAAGAAATCCACCTGCAGGTTACTTGCCTTCAGTCAAAAGGATTAAGTCTTAGTTATACCATTTACGAGCAAAACACATAAAGGTTACACTTCCAAGGCTGCCACATTATCAGTGTGAAACAACTTTCTTTATAAAGATAATACCACTACATGCTACAGCATTCACCAAAAGTTTTGGAGAAAATAGGTCTTCTGAATTAAATGCCTAACACTGAGAATTTTAGTGAACTAAAATATGAAATTAAGTTTAGTGAAATTCCTAACATAAGGAATTCATTTAGTAATGCTACTTAAATATTTAGAGTGGAGAACTGGTTGCTGAGAAGCTAAAAATTTTTGACCATGAAACTAATCTTAAATTGTCTGATACAGTCCATACATGTAAATTGAGTATTTAATTTTCTTAATATGAAGCTAAATTTGCCCAAATTTAAATGCAGGTTTACATGTAACATGGCAGTTATCCTTGTGGTTGTCCCAAACCCCTCAGCCTATCTGAAATAATGGCATGAACAGTAAAAATCCCTCAACAAAACCAGCATGTTTTTACACCTATGAACACATCAGGTTGGTGGCACTTAACAGGTCTAAACTACTACATTTATCTCCCTCAAAATGAAATATTTCATTTTCTGCCAAACATTTTCTGCCTTTTTTTTTAATTTTTTTTTTCCACATCTGCAATACAGGAATATCCACTTTACATACTTACTTGGGATCGATGAAATGACTACAAAAACCTAATTAACTATCTTAGAGCTAGAACAGTCATCTAAAACTCAAAGGAACATCGCAAAGAACTTTCTGCAATGTCTGTCAACTAATATGCAATAACCATCAATGCATAGGGAAAAGTTAGTCAAAACTATACATAAAAACGTAATGTTCAAAGAAGATAACATGCCAGGCTTCACCTAAGAACCGTCCTTCTGAGCTACATTAAAACCAGAGTAAAGGTTTCATTAAACACAAAAATCATTCAAGTAATCATAAAATACACTTACCAATCTTTTTTTATTAAAGGCATTAAGCTTACATCAAAAAATACAGGATGCAACTAGACAAAATAAGATCACAAGCCTCAAAAATCAAAAAGTAACGAAACCAAAAAGAGAAACAGTTTCTGACAAAACTCTAACAGCCTATGGCCAGAGTCTTAGGTGGAGTATTAGTACCTCCTACAGCATAAAAATATAACTTGCTTTCTACATGCCAGCATACACATAACAATGCTTAAAGCCTGCAGAAAAGCTCTGAGAACTTTTATTTAAGGTTTTGCAGAATACCACGTGTTATTCAAGATTCTTTACCCTAACCTTCATCTTGTAATGCCTTCTGGCAGTGAAACAGCACAGACTATGCTTTAACACCTATCACCCAGGGTTCTGCCCTCTCCCCCCCCAGGAAAAGCAAAGTAGATATGGTTTTGTTACAAAAATTTTCTTATTCGAAATACATCACTGAATACTTAGAACTCCATATGTGCTACGATTTGATAAGTTTTTTTTCTGGGTTTACTCATCCATTCTGTTAAAAGAAAAACTGAACTGCTAGTAACTTGAAGTTTCTTTCCCAAACCACATAAGGAAAACAGACTTTGGCTGCACTTGAGGGAGCTACAAATAACTGACCACAAGCTAATAATGACAACAGTTTCCCATTAAATGCAAATAATGAAGATAGCATAGGCATGGCATGTTTTCTCCTTAAAAATTAACTTTATATAAACAAGATGTAATGGTTATTCAAGCAAATATAGCAAATCTCTTGAGACGAGGGGAAATGGCAATTCTTGTATGGGTACCAGAAATTAACTTAGTTACTGTTTTTTGGTAAGGCAATTAAAAGTTGAGGTAAAACATCTTCCCAAGTACAAAAGGAGAGTTGCCATAGAATAAGAACTACTGACTCCTGGATGGGGAATAAAAAAAAAAAAGACATTAAATGACTCACAAACAATCAAAACCAAAAACCGGAATTATTGTGCAAGTACCTGAAAACGCATTCAATGTAACTTGATCCTCAGGAGTAACTTCAGCCAAAAGCAGCCATTTATCTTCTCTCTAGGAAACCTCCCAAATAACATGAGAGGGATTAATCTTGATAATTATGCAGTCTCCTACACTGTTTAGTCAGCAAATGAATTACTTAATATAGAAAAAAATTGTAATGAATTTCAGGCTTTTTTCTTGACAAAAACACCATGCCACTGTTTCCGTGATAGATCTTGCTTGCCTATTTAAAGCCATCTGATGATGGTCTTGCTAGAATAATCTAGTCTCTCTCACTTCTTCCTTTAGAAAGACTACTAGATATTTGAGTGTTTTAGATCCAAAATTACCTTTTGTAGAAGCATTCTCCACATAGTTTGAAACAAACAATACTTAACATGAGGAATTTACATGCAAGTATCATACTAGTTCCAGTTGAAAATCTTTTCCAACACCACATATTTGTTATTCAAAATATATAATTTGTGTGGAAGATTATGAATCAGATTAAAAACACTATAGATTTCTCTAGATTTAAACACAGATGCATTCAGGAGCTCCCTCAGTCACATACACATCAAGTTCCTTAGCCTTTAAACTGTCCTTTAAACTGTCCTCATTGTAATGCTGTATTTTACAATCTTCCACAGGGACATGCATGAAGACATTAGACTGGGTAATTATACCTCAAGTTAACAATTTCACTAAAGTACTTAAATAACAAAAGAATACTGTAACTTATTGCTCTTAGCTTTTTCATGTGTTGTTATATGAAGTTCTTAAAGTGGCAGATCTTGAAGAGCTGTGACTATGTAAACTGTTCCACTTTTCTTTTTAAAATTCTTCTAAACCCGCACAGATGAAAATGAAGATATAATTCAAAATTTAAAGTCATACAACTCTTTGGAGTTTGAAATTGGTTTTGAGATGTTGAGACTGATATGATTTCCTTAGAGGCTCTAGGCAATAAGCTGTATGGTCTCTAAATTTCAATACTGTTGCTGATTAGACTCATTTGGCAGCTAAGCCCAGTTAACCTACGATCAGAGTAGACTTCAGCTGCATGTGAATGGCCCAGAAAAAAAAAAATCTTTATAACTTTATCTGGAAAAGTTAGCACATCTTACCAAACTGCACAGCTACAAAAGTGTGTTTATGCATAGGCACTTGCTCATTTAATTAAAAAAATAACCCAACAAACAGAACACCGAAAAGCAACCAATCAACAATTGCCCCCTGCACCTCACC